CTTTGTCATAAAGTATTATCATAAACTTCGATAGTTATATATATTTCTTACAAGTAATTTATATTATTTGACCTTCTCTACAAATATTCAAGTAGAAATTTTGATTTGAATACTAATACCTTTTCTATCTCTCTCTGTATTTATAATAAAAGAATAAATTTAACCTATCAGTTACTAAACGTCTATTTGTCTTTTCTCGCATCGTTATCATTGTGATTAATTCACGTAAAAATTTGCTCTCATACTTGATTATAATTTTAACAATTTTTCAAATTAACATGCAAAAATTAGTAATATGATATAGATGCAACAAATTATCCTTTTTTATTTTTTAATTATCAAAATGATTGCTTCAAACTGTAATTATAATTACGTATACAAAACGAACTTTGATAATTTTGCTATAAACTGTTCACTCTGCTTAATTTCCGTATTCATAAATATTAACAAAAAGCTCAAAAAAATTAGTTGCTTTAATTCCAAAAATCAAAAGGAAAAAAAGAAAGTTAGATTGCAATGAGTGTGCTGTAAGTGCATGAAATTTGATAAATTTTATTCAGTACTGTAAGGATTTTAAAAGTTTAATTGCCAAAAGTTATTAAGTATTTCTGTCTTTTTGTTCTTTTTTTAACTTTTGATTTATTTCATATCTATTGCTAAAAACTATACATTGCTTTAAGATTCTGATGAATTAATGATAAAGTGACAAAAACTGTTGCATATGCATTACTTTACATCGTATACATTAAGAACCAATTTTTCCTATGAAAATGTTTGAATTAACTTCTTTTATTTTAATTACAATGTTTTAATTATTCAGGTACTTGAAATAAAATTTTATTGATAATTTTAAATTTCTTTCACTGAAAAAAATTCAGAAATGTCTTAATTACTGTCATCAAATTTTTACTCAAATTTTGAAGATTTGAAATTTACAGTAATGAAATCTCTAATGATTAGCGACATAAAACTTTGTGTACAAAATTAATCATTTATGGGGAATAGAGAAGAATTTAATTTTATGTTTTTACTTCAATAAAAAACTATTTTTGTAATTAATTTTATTAAAATACTAAATTGGAATAATCCATCATGTTTAAAACATTTTATGCCACATTGCAACAGTTTGTTTAAAAGTTTTCTCAAGCTAAGAATAACAATTTTTGTCGTAATAATTATCAAATAATTATTTTTTTATTGAGACTGAAATACTTATTTGATTTGTTGTTATTTATCATTTAATAACTTATTATTCTCAATATTCTTTACGTTTTTAAGCATAATTTTCTACTGCAAATTTAGCTATTAATTTTAAAGGAAGTTTATGTATTGCATTTACGACAACAAAAATGGAAAAAGGGAAACAATTTGCAAATTTGCATATTTTCAGCAATGAAAAAACATTGCATATCAGACAGTTAATTTATATCTTACATTTTTAGCGTATTATCATAGATAACTTATTGGGAGGCAGAATAAATAAAATATCTTTACTCAAATTCATACTTCAAAACAATTTAGACCTAAAATCAAATTTATACATATTTTTATCTTTTGTATTAGTCATACATCATTAAATAACTTGTTGATTTATGCTTTATAATAAGCAAATGTATAATTTTTATGCAATCGTTTACATGAAACAGAATATGCTACACATGTAATCTATGGTATGATTGTAAAGGTAACACGTGGCACATTCAAAATGTACGAAAAAGGACAGGAATCAGAATGCAACAGTCTTAGAAGAGTAACTTTTATTGGTGTGGCTTTTTCAACAGTCGCCACGTTAGTATGCGTGATTTCTGTGCCGATGTTTTACAACTACATGCAACACATGCATTCTATAATGCAATCTGAAGTTGATTTTTGCAAGTCGAGATCTGGCAATATATGGAAGGAAGTAACACGAACACAAGTAAATCCATAGTTTCCACAAATGCAAATAAATAATCTTTCTTCATTTCCATAATGAAAGGAAGGAAAGATTTGTTTTGGTAAAAATATAAAGAAATTAAGAAAATTACCACCATGTTTGGTAATCGTTCTTCACTCAATTCGTATTGGCACTTACACTTTGAAAAACAAAAAGACCTCAAAAAACACCTTCTAAAAGCTTCAAACTAAAAGTACAAATATGTTTTGACATCTCTTACAACTGGTAATTTTTTATGTATTTTTAAAAAGTTTCATAA